ATTAAAAGCCACCACCGTGATAGTGTTAGTCCATAAACTCACTCACACAGTCCTTCACTGGGGCACAAGCACATGGGAGAACGTATGTGTGGAACAGGAGTGTATATATCAGAGTGCGGGAATGTGTGCACTCCAGAGTGCTTTTTGCTTTTTTTTTTTTTCCTCAATTCACCTGTCCCGCTCCAGTGGAAATGGACGGAATCTGAAGTTTTAAATGTCCTGTGCGTCGATAGCTTTCACGGCTCGCCCGTCAGTCTCTCCATCTCTTTCTCTCTTCATCAAAACCCCTCTTGCTTCTCCAATCCCACAAGTCTGAGTGGGCTTTTGGCTCCAAAGTGATGTTGAAGAGCACCCGCATATGACACTGCTATCTATACATGTATGCTCTCAGCCATGATAGACACTTAGAGGTTTACTTAACGGCAGCTCTTAGTGAAATACCTGCTTAAAAGCTGAAATGGTTAATTCTTTTTTATTATTATTTTAATACAGGGCTTGAGAAAAGCAGAAGGTTTTTTTTTGTCTGTGCTGAAAGTGAAACAGTGTTGATGAAGCTGCTTTCATTAATCTGTTAGAAACCATTTGTGGAAAAAGAAATGTATAGATTATTGTAAAATCTAAAAAAAAACCCTATAAATAAAACCATAGTTATTTTTTTATTATTTAAATTTGACTGGTTGTAAAAAAAAAAATCCACACTTCAGATGCCGTCAGTCACCATCATTAAAAAAAAGCAATTATAACTTGTCATGTCTGAGAGGAATGTGTTAATAAATTGACAAATTAATGGATTAAACGAGGGTGTGATTGCACATGGTCAGTGAGCAAGCGGGAGAGTGTGCGGCGTTATGATTGACGGCTCAGTGGAGCGGCTGCCGCAGTGTTTCAGACACAGGGCTGATGGTGCATATGGTTCTGATTGAACCGGTTATTTAGGCAAAGTTGAGGGGCTGACCGTGTCTGTGTTGGTCTGTGTGCACGCATAAAGTGAATCCCCACACACATTTTTCAACCATGACATGTGTTTGGGCTTCGTCTGGAGGAGGAGGTGTCACAGAAACCAAGTTGCAAAAGTAGACAGAGAGAGAAAACACCTGAAAACTGTGAGCGATGGTCTTTTCTTCGACATCTCTTGCCTCTCCGTCTGAATTAGGAGTCATTAATACAGTGA